ACACGTAGTCTTCAATTTTGTAATACATATATAAATACAATAAACAGTTCCCCATAAAAGAGTCGTTTACCTTGGTTAAATGAAATCCTGGTGCCATGAGTTTAGACTTAGCTCTAAGGTTAATATTATGGATGTTAATATTGTGTATTATGAATGTTCATTTTCAATCGTTACTAGTCCACTACAGGGCATAGGCATTCCTTCCCTATTATATATAAGCATCCTACTCGTCAATCCGTCTTCTGAGCTTTTCACGTCTTCGTCTTCAGTCACTCCGTGGTGAGCTTTACTCATAGCTCGCATGACATGCCGCATACGTGTCCGATCAAGTTCCATTTCAGATTTTCTTTTCAACCAACGTCAATGATTTATGTTTTGGTGCGCAATACTGTACTGGTCTGTACGTCGTCTGACATTTTTATGCATGTGGGAGAAACACTCCTAGTAATAAAAACTTTATAGTTACACTACAACATTGGAGGGTTTTCCACAGACACTCTTTCGTGTATGATACAGCAATCGTGCACGATTGAGCGCGCGTGTAAAGATGTTGGAAGGCAAAAGGGAAAGGCTGCGCGTTTGCACTCACCAGTCGCGCGCGCAATCGTGAATTCCTAGGTTGCCTTTTCGGACACAGACGCTCTTCCGTTGTAATAAAAATGAACATGAGCAATCGCGCGCGAAAGAACGTTAGCTTTAAAAACTTCAAACAGGCAATCGCGCACGATAGCGCGTGCAGGCTTTTCCGCGCGCAATGCAGTCGCGACAGAGTGCCTGTGCACAGAAGGCTAATATTATCTTTTTCAAAGTAGTATTTTTGTCTAATATTGTTTTGTTGTTAAACCACAATGGTCAAGCACAATTCAGGACAAAGAATGGTCCAATTTGGAAACTTAGTTTTTAGTCAAATTTACTCCTTTTGCACATTAATAGCATAATTTTCTATATATATTAGATACAATAATGAAATTATACCATTTTGAAATTTACATTAAACATACATTATTTTAGAATAGTTGGCCACTCGAGTTAACGTTCATTTTTTTAATCAGTTTGTGAAAAAAGAAATTCGCACTGAAAAATAAATTAAATATAAAAAAAAATTAAGTGTAAATAAATAGTCATACATACATAGTTAGTCACATATTATCTAGACTATAAATTTCTGTTACGTCGATCTACATCATTCCTTTGTTGCTGTGCCCTGCAGGGTTCATTATGTTTTGTGTGTTATGCACATACATATGATTCGTGTGTATTTTAACTTACACTTAGTATTGTAAATAATAGAATTGAAATGATTACTTTTTTATTTTTTTTATATTTTTTTTTTTATTTTTTTTATTTTTTATTTTTTTTTATTCGGTTCACAAAACTGGATACAACTCTTAAATCAAATACAACAGATTGGTTAACATTATAAGGCGAGAAGAGTGTGTCCTTCTAGATGTGAACACAGCGGCGTTTCGTATTTAAAACATAAAGTGCTTAAACAAAATTATAGTAAATTAAGATTTACATATCTACTATTTATGAAATAGGAAACAGACAACTAAAATTCATCGCGCAGTCACTAAATAATACATTTTCTTATTGAGTTTCTAGCTGAGACCACAGAACAAAAGAATATATCAAAATCATATCTGATAGCATTATAATGAGAACACATGCGATACACTGGACTGTGTTGACCAAGGTTGGTTCTGCAAGTAGGGAGTGCGAAAGTTTACGATTGATTAGGCGATTTCCGGGACGAGGTACAGGTAGATACAAGCACTCGAGTATATCAGGAGCGTCAATGACACCATGAATAATCTTGAATAAAAAGATCAGGTCAAGCGATTTTCGGCGTTTTTGCAATGAGAAAATATGAAAATAAGAGAGACGTGACTCATGTGAAAATAACTGCTTACAATTAAAATTATTATACGTTAGATGATAGAGGAAACGTTTTTGTACACGTTCAATCCTATCTGAATGAACCTGGTAACCTGGGTTCCAGACTGTGGAACAGTATTCTAATATGCTACGTTTTAAACTGTTATAAATTAAAATAGATATTGCTGGTTCTTTAAAAATTTTCATTTGTCTAGACACAAAACCCGTTAACCTTGAAGCTTTATCGGTCTATTATCGAATAGAGTCATAATGATTTCTAAAACTTAGTGTGGCATCTAGGACAACACCCAAATCCCGAACACTGGTAACCTCCGTTAAGGGCGTATGGTCGATAAAATAAGTAACAATTGATGGCTTTTGACGCCTAGTAAATTTGATGTGGTAACATTTATTTCTATTTAGGACCATTCCGTTATCACAACACCATCTATGCACTCTGTTAAGATCATCTTGAAGCAGCTGGGAGTCATTAGGCCAGTTGACAGCTCTGTATAGCTTTAAATCGTCAGCATACATTTTAAATTTCGAACTCAATGAAAAAGCAATATCGTTAACGAACATTAGGAAAAATAGTGGACCCAGATAAGAGCCCTGTGGCACACCAGATGGCACCAAATGCAGTTCAGATCTAAAACGAGAAACTGCCACCAACTGAGATCTATTGCGTATGTAGGATTCACACCATCTTAGTAGCGATCCGTGAATTCCCATCTGTTCCATCTTGTACAGAAGAATATCGTGATGCACCAGATCAAACGCCTCTCTGAAATCGGTGTAAATCGAATGCACCTCACCGCCCCCATCCAAAACATTCGATATATCCGATACAAATGATACCAAGTTTGATGAAGTTGATTTATGTGGCAAAAATCCGTGCTGGTTGGCATCAATTATGGTTTTAACATGAGAGTAAATTCTTTTTTGTATGAGCGATTCTAAAATTTTGCCAACTGTTGATAAAATTGAGATTGGTCTGTAGTTGGCTATATCTTCCAAACGACCCGATTTGTGTATAGGTTACTCCTATTGTGTGCTATTTTCCATCTACCAGGGAAAACACCAAGTTGCAAGGACTTATTGTAGATTATGCAAAGTGGTCTGTACAGAACTTCAGCACAGCTTCGAAGAAAGCGTGGCGGTATCATATCAGGTCCTGGCCCTTTGTCACCATTAAGACAATTAAGACACTTGAGTACTTCATCTTCAGAAACTATTACATTACCGAGAGAAAAACTGTGTTGGTAGGCACTGATTTTACATTTACTTAAATCTGGTGGATTGTGCATGCCATAAACAGATTGAAAATGTTTTGAAAAAAGGTTACATATACTTTGACCACCCGTGGCAGAAGAGTTACCCAGAAACATTTTGTGAGGTATGGTGGACGCATTGGACTTACGATATTTAGAAAACTTCCAGAAATACTTCGGATTCAGTTGTAAGTGTTTATTGATAAGCAACCAACAGACCCACTGTTCCTTGTGATATATACATACATACTCGTAACACTACAATGTGCTGGATGAGGACGAAGTAGGCTCTATTACACACCCTCCACACAAATATACGCCATGCTGCTTTTATTTATATTACGATCAAGTGTGCATCAAACCAGCCAACAGTTTGAGAAAAACAAAGAACATAATAATAATTATTGTTACAATAACGCACAAGCTCATAGCCCCGCACAAGGGAAACACACATAGCCATACACAAATTACACCCAAACTCATGAGAGAAATAAAAGGTAGGTCTTAAACATATTATTCACGGGCTGGGAATCGCACCTGGGACCTCCGCGTGGCAGACCAGCATGACTACCGTTCGTACACTGAGGCAGTTATTGATGTGTCGTGAACGCATAGTTTTTGTGCGGAACAAATAGTATATAGCTGCATAGCTGCGGGTCTCGACACGCTTGTCCACAACAGTTGCAGTACCACTCAGGGCTTTAAGTCACAAAGATCTGAGGAAGCACTACTACTGCGCCAGTCACCCAAAGATATAAAGTTGAAATGTTCCATGCTCCTGTAATTTAACCAGCTCCTTTACCTTTCAAAACCGAAACGCAGTAATGTTTGCATTACTGCTGGACGACAATAGCTAAGGTGGCAGCACTTCACTTTGACGAAGTCTTTCATAAGGGGATCTATTGCTACTACTCATAACAATCGTATAAAAGATACTATATACGCAGCTAAAAAACGTATTACTTTATTTAAAAAAAGTTTTTCAAGTCTCTTAAACTAGGCATGAATGTAATGATTAAATAACCCGCCTAAACGACAATACATGTCAACGGAAAACGCGTGACGTCATTGGTAAATTCTGTCGTCCACTAACTAAAGCGTGGCTAAGTGACAAATGGTGAAAAATCCGTTTTAAATAGCAAAAAATATGGCACAAAATTTTCTTCTAAAAACAGTTAAAATTAGTTAACGTATTTGACTTATCGGAACTTACCCTAACGATGCATAGGTGAAATATGATTAAATAATTCCAATATTTTTTATGATATCTCAAAAAAATATTTTGTCACTTAGACGCGTGACGCGTTTTAGTTAGGGGACGGCAGAATTATGTTGGGCAATGTGCACTTGTCACTTCATAGCAGTTGTAGTGCCACTGAGAGTTTTAAATCGCAAAGTTCTCAGAAACATAGCCACTGCACCTGTCATCCTGAGACATCCCTTCAAGTCCCGATCGCAGTAATGCTCACATTACTGCTTGGCGGCAGAAATAGGTAAGGTAGGCACTACCCTTCCCTTCCTCCCTTCTTCGCTTCCTTACAATGAGCTCTAAAGTTACTTATTTATTCAGCCCCATGTCCCATGTGCGTAAAGATTCACCAGCACACTTACTCTTCAAAATCAGAACATTGTGCTCACATTACAGCTTGGTATCAGAAATAGTTTTGCACAAAAATAATAACAATTGATTTTTCCATCAAGCATATGCAAAACAAATGATGTAACGGAAAGATAACACTATCAAAAATTAAATAGGAAATACTAAAAATAGGTCTTAGTCAATTTCTTATTTGCGTATCAACGAATTGAACGTTGTTACTAAAAATTGGACCAGACTAGTGGAAATGACTCTTAGATTTTATATTTTTTCTTCGGTACCAATTGACCTATAACTTCAGCATACTGTGTGACATCTTTATTGGATAACACTTGATTTGAGCTTGTTGCCAACTGCAATGTAGCGTAGGTCACTGTTTCCGGAATAGCCTGAAAATTAATTAAATATATATCACATAATTATACTACAGTGCAATACTTAATACTACTTAATACTGACTCGCTATTAGCTCGCTAACCTGCTAGTAAAGGCGATTAGTAATAATAATAACATACATAGCATACATAAATACATATTATCACTCTCACACCGAGGTTAGCAGAGACTATGGACCTTAAACTGTTACGCTCTTAGATATAGGAAAAAAGGGGAGATATGTAATGACGCTATATAAGATCGGGTACCGATGTCGCCACTTTTTAGCTTGTGTGCAATTTAAACTTTACGCTCTATTATCTAAAAACGTGAAAACGACGTAACGCAATTTTAAAATTTAACAAAATTAAAGTTACAGTCACTTGAGTAAGAGTTATATTACAATATTTCAGTATTTTTTCATCCTGGCTCAGCCATTCAACATCAGGTGGCTACGTGTCCGCACAAATTTGCTGGGTCGTGAGTATTGAAATAAAACCGCTGTCTAGCAGCACCGGCGGGGGCGGATGGAAACCGCTCCGTGAATTGTTAACCTTATTAATCTTAAACTAACGCTACTCAACGAGGGATGTGGTCCTACCTAATCGACAGTTAGAAATCATGTGGCTGTTTTTAATATTAAAAAAATATTCAATTTTTCATACTATACCTACACTGGTACAGGTGTATTATTAAATTAATATATTAATATAAATTATTGTTAGTTTCTTAATGGCGGCCACTAGGCTTGGGCCAGTGTCAGTTTTATAAGAATCATATAAAAAATATGGCGATCGTCGCCAGTGTCAGTTTTCCATTATACGTTACCACGGGTTGGTGAAGCTGTCACTGTCAAGAGTAAACTCGAACCATCAACGAATGTAATAAATTAAATTATGTTTTTTTTTATGAAGGACTTTTGTAATTTTCTGTAATTGTTTCTAATTCATTTTGCATGCACATGTAAAATAAAGCCGATTTTAATTAATTTATTTTTTAAATGCATTTGCTATGGAAATTTAAACAACGTAAGAAATAGTAATAAGAAAACCAATCTTTCGATTTTCCTGCAGCTTCAATCCAACCTTCCTTTATTTTGAACTAATTGGAAAAACTAAAAAATTCAAAATACTCTACGTTTAATCTACGAGTATAATGGAATTCAAATATATAAATTATCTAAAACAATAATACTTATACATTTTTCTTGAAGCAACAGCAACATACAAATTGACATGAAATTGAAACGGTTGTCCGAAATTTGAGTTGTGTTAAAGTTACTCGAAATAAAAGGTTTAGTAATAATAATGCTAATAAAATAAAAAGAAATCAATTTAACGTGAAAGCTTATCACTTCGATATTTTAGGGACTTTAATTACCAAGATCATAGTAAGAAATTCAAACATTTCAGTAAACATTTATTGTCGATAAACATCAGTCATCGTAAATGACCATCACTATATTTGAGTCTAGAAATTTCTATGGAGACTAAAATAAAACATTGAATAATAATAGAAATAGTAACTAAAATGCAAATAGCCGGTGGAATGTTATCTCACTGGTTTTAAAATTTTTAAATTTTTACAAGATGTATCACTACAACTTGGCATTTTCACGTTTTACGAGAGATCTTGTATGTACAACGAGCGCCATGTCACTGTGGCGATGTTTGTAGGCGTGACACCTCGATATGATCATTTTGATCATATCGAGGCGACACGAACCAAGCCCCCATACCAAATCTCCACTCCCTTCAGTCTCTTCAAACATGCCTGTTCATTTTGGTACTTTTAGCTTTATTGTAAAAGACATTAGAATAGGTACACTGATGTGCCTAGCTCCCAAACAAGGATCCCTGTACTATGGGTAGCAAATGCCTTTTTTTATAATATTAAGTGACGGGACGAACAAGTCGTGCACGAGGTAAGCGACACCCCTATACATACTGTTATGTATAGGGGTGTCGGGTATGCAACTGTTTGCAGTGCTTTAAATCGCAAAGATCTTAGGGGCACTGCCACTGTGCCCGTCTCTTCCCTCCACAAGACCCTTGTGCCTACAGGCACATTTCACCCTTACTCTTCTAAAGCGGAACGCAGTAATGCTCGCATTACTGCTTGGCAGCAGGAACAGGTAAGAGGGCAGCACTTCTCTGGACGAACCCTTTCACAAGGAGCTCTACTACTGCTAACAATGTTGAAACATTGGTCGTAGTTTCTAATTAAAAAAAAAACAAATCTGGACTGTCAATATAATTTAAACCCTGTTGGCATATAGTTAAAAGTTCAATACATATTCCTGCAAGTTACGACGTTTTGATTTTAAATTGAAATTTCAATCAAGATGCTACCATCTTGCGGTCAATAGATGAACGACGACATGGAACATGATATGAAACACCACCATAAATCATATTACAAGTGCTACTATTATTTTTGTACTCCAAAGTAGCAAAATAAGGCATTTTTCGAGGTTTTGCCCGAGATAATTGACTCGACCATAACGTAAAAAGGGAAAATAGCGAACTGTGCTTAAGATTGTAGAATTTCGCGTTCTGATGGCACACGTGCCACACAAAATAAGGACTTCGACTGTATTTATTGTGCTGTGAGTGGTCGTTCTACGCGCCTTTCATTATTATGCGAATGTGTGCGTGTCCGTACATGGCGCGCGGCGTGCACGCATACAAGCCGCATTGCTACTTTGTATCAAATTACCATAACTATCGATTTTACATTTATTACGTACATATATGGCATCTTGTGCTGTTTCCCTCTTTGTAGACTCCTCGGGTTTTGCTATTTCGATATTTCTTTTACATCGCTTTCGGCAACAGCAGTAGATAAAAGTTAGTAGGAGAAACAACACTAAAATCGCTGCCGTCGAAATGATTACTATTATTGTCGGGAACTCTGAAACAAGAAAAAAGAAACATAATTTATTTTTTATAATATCTAGTGACGGGACGAACAAGTCGTGCTAAGCTACACGCCTGTCCACAACAGTTGCTGTGTCTTCAGAGCTTTAAATCGCAAAGATCTGAAGGGCAGTGCCACTGCGCCCTACACCCTGAGACATAAGTTGACAAGTCCCATGTGCCTATAATTTCACCAGCAAGCTTACCCCCGGTTCACACGGTATTGCACTGCTCGTTTTTTTGCAGTATTCGATGTGCGTTTGTATGTGTGTGAGTTTTTTTGTAGGACAAACACCGTGTGAACGGTTCTATATAATGTATGTGCCACTGTATATTCGGTTCGGATTTATACTGCAAAAAAACGTGCAGTACAATGCCGTGTATATTAAAGTAATGTTGACATTACTGCTTGGCGGCAGAAATAGGTCAGGTGGCAGTACTTCTTTAGACGATCTTTTTGACAAGGACTTCTAATGCTACAAAACTACTTAACAATATAACTACAATATCAGAAATTTCGTATTTGAGCTCATTTGAAAGTCTGCGGATATTGTGGAGTATATACGAGTAAAAACCAATGCTATCCTGAGGGTCCAGCGGTTGGAATCTCCTCACACATGTCAGTATTAAATCAGGAGTTTTGGCCGAAGGGTATCATATACCGACGTTTAAATAAATACTGTTTTATTATATTATTATATATGTTCGTCTATAAGGCATATATGGATCTATATATGTAACCTGAGTATAAATAAATAAATTATTTTCGTTGCTAGGTATAAGCATTGATACCAACATTGATTGGAAATCACATATCCAAAAAATTAAAACATAATTGTCGCAATTTATATATGCTTCAAGTGAACTAAAAAATCGATCAAACCCAAAAACAGCAGTGACGGCATATTACGACACGCGTAGCTAAATTACAGCGTAATAATATGTTGGTTATCGAAATGAATAAACTCAATATTATTTCACATTGCACGTCATGTGGACAAAAAAGATCAATTACACCAAGTTGGTAGGCAGTTGACAGCGTTGTGTCTTTTGTAGTGGAAACCCTGACTTCAAGGAGCTTTATATTACAGTTAGCCTAATTGAAGCCTGCGATAACTAGAAAGCTGACCGCTACATCTTAACCATCTAAGGGCAAAACATTACCACTTTATTATACTTTATTATTACACATTAGAAAATTTCACCGAGAACCGTACTCCGTAATTAGCTTATGCCATTACGGAGTACGGTTCTCGGTGAAATTTTCTACCGTAAGAGACCCCCCCACACTATCGTCTTTCGAGGGTCATCGCCTTGCTAACATGCGCACAGCATCGTCACGACGTCCACGCGGCCGCGACGCAACGTAGTATCCCTAACTAATTTGTGGACACAACGCCAGCACTGATCAACTGCTGAATTGATACGAACGTCGAGTATATGCCGCGCTGGATGTCGTTGCATCGCGGTTGTGTGGACGTCGTGTCTACGCTGTGCGTTTGTTGGCAAGACGCTGCCGCTCGAAAGACGCTAGTGTGGGGGTCTCTTAACTTCAAAAGTTAAATTTAGAATATTAATACATTTACGTTGGTAAACGTACCTTTCTTTTCTAAATCCTTTATGAAATCTGGTTCTGTAGTTGATGTTGGATTGGAAGTTGATTGATTATTTTCTGTGAAAGCAAATAAATAAATTTAACAGTTTTCTCCATTTAATTCCAAGATTTACCTTTTTTTTTAAGTATTATTGTACTTGTTAAAACATTGATTAGTAGTACAAAACGTACACAATTGCTTGATGTCCACACTCTTTTGTTAAAAACATTGTACTTCTTAATGAAGTAATGGGCACGCATAAAATCCTTAAGGAATGAGAGGCATTTGTTTTTTAACTGTTGATGTATTTTACAATTATTTTGCATTAAAAACTTCCCAAACTGTTTATAACTACATTTGATTTATGTTGTATTAAAATAACTAGTAGTACTTAAAATAAGGGACATTTTAATTCATCCGAAAATTCTCAGCTCATCTTATTTATACAAATATACATAAAACAGATAAATTTGATTTTTGTATTGTATATGTTCCAGTGCCGTTTGTATCCGGTATCTAATCTTCTTTTATAGTAATATATGTATATACTCGTGTATTTCCTACAAATTTAAAACGTAATTCTTGTGAAGTTTAACAATTGTCAGCTGCGGATGTCCATAGATCAAGGTGGAACCAGAAAAGAAGCATGTAGTACTGAGGTTCCATCCATTATTATTATTATTATTATCAATTATTTTCGTATTTTATTTGAAGCATCGTTTAAGATAACCAGTCTTACTGCAGTTCTGTTACCGGAGCTACTAGGAGGCTCTTTCCAAGCTCCTTAAAGCGGCGCTCGAACAAAGTCTGTGCCGCACTTATTTCTTTTTTTTTTTAATAAAATATAAGTGCGCATTTGACCACCATCTCACCTGATGGAAAGTGACGATGAGGTCGATGATGGAGCATGCACACCTAACTAATGCTTTTTCACTCTCGCCTTGAAAATGCCCAAATTATAACGTTCAAGAAACAAGTCTGCGGACAGGGAATTCCACTCCATAGCCGTTCGTCATATAAATGTGGAAGCGTAACTCTTCGTGCGAATCTACCAAGCCTACGCCTAGCCCCCCGGTGATGGAAAGGGGCAAGCGGAATTAAATCGTGTAATTCCAACGCACACTCTCCGTGAAATATCCTGTTTTTACAGGATAGGTATTTTCACCGATAAACAACTTTACGGCGGCGTTCAAGGCTCTGCAGCTTCACCTCCACTGAACACTTGCATAAGGGAAGATCTCAACGGTGTCACAAATATCGCAATCCAGGCGGCAACATCCTATACAAAATCGTAAGTTCTAAAATAAAAAAAAAGCTTCAACACATAAGTACAATTTTCTTTCAATATTAACAGAACAACAGTTGTTTGTTAACGTTAATGACAGAAATGCTGTGTGTTCGAGTATCACGTTACTAAAATAACCCGGTATTCAACGGCTTATTATCTAAGTCTTAGGTTTTCGCGATTGTTAGACATAGGAAATGAAACTATTTTTTTTTTGGATTCAAATCGCGAACATTTGCTTTCTCAAACAAACCTGTAAAAACGTATTAAAAAGGTTTCAAAGGAAGTAAAATTATTGCTCGATATATTTCGAATCAATTCGTGGTCCTTAATCATGAGATTCCGCGGCAGTGCCCGATTACTCAGCACGGCTGCGAGCGCAGGCGCCGTTGGCGAGAAACCCCTCGTTTCCTTCATTTTTATTAAAGTCATATGCATAACAACGTCACTTTCTAAAGTCTCGTCTACGCTATTGACATCACCACCGTCGCGGAATCCCATGATTACGGACCACGAATTCTGTATAAAAATTCGACTTAAATACGTTAGTTAGTTTTTTAAATTAATATGTCGACTTCGATCCGAAAAAAATGTTTCATTTCCTATAACTGTATAATATTCTTGCAATGTAAATTAATCTTAAGTATTTTAAACGAGATGTAATGTATTACCAGTCGCATTTTGGAGAACAGTAATTGGTTTTTCAGTGGCACTAGTAGCCGTAGCAGCAGTAGCAGTATTAGATGTAGTACCTGAATAATATAAAACAAATTGTCGTTTTTGTAATCTATGACATCGTTGACTTGGCAATCAGCACTCTGTATAAGCCTCCAATATGACAATTCAACAACTCTAGATTTGGACTCAGGTATAGTACTCGGTTACTCATGATTTAAAGAACAGCATGAGCGGTACACTTTGGCCTTTAAATCGCTTTTTGTTAGCAATATGAAGTTGTGTCATTATTAAAATGACTATTATGATATTACAATTTACACCCAAAATTCCCTCGTTTTATTACCTTCTAAGTTTAATTCTATTTTAATCAAAGCAGATGTGGTGTAGTTTCGAGAGTCGTCAATATTTGTGCAACTATGAATTTTAGAGACGTATATTCTTGCAATACAATATACTTCTTTAGTTTCATTGCTCAGCTGAAGCCTTCCACTAATTGTGTCTTCTAGTATAACTGGTTTTCTACTAACACTAACTAAATTGTCGGCACCTGAAATAAAAGTATCGAAGTCAATTAAACGAGGTATCACAAGAACGTGAAATTAGCTCAAATATAAATTATGTCCGTCCATGACTTCATTTGTTTTAAGGGCAAATCTATGTATCTAAATAATAAGTTACGTAAATGTAAGAACTTTGGTGTATACATTCTTGTATAAACCACTTATCATAAATATGTCACCAAAGTTCTTTCAGTTATTAATACTTATTTGATAAGAAAGTGTTTACATATTTATGAAATCTTTTAATAAATACGTCATATTGTTACATACCTCAGTGACTCCGTGTTTACCTATATTCGCTTAGTCTATTTTTGGGCTTTACGCTACTAATTCTAACTACTCTATCTTGAACGTTGTCATGATATCTAACCATTATTGCTATTTGGAAGCTATTAGAATCTATCTCTCTCCTTTACTATTTTACTTATGGACTCGTGGCTTAACGCATATACGTCTCACTGCTGAGTTTGAAATTCCTTAAGGTGGAACAAGCAGACCCGTAAAAACTTTAAGAAAGTATATCAAATCGACTTACTTTAAAAGCAAGCACAATCGCTATGATGGTACAATTACAGAGCAATGTGACAGGTTTCTATTTATTTCACTTGAAGAGCGTCAAGCCCATGGAGCAACAATCAACTCCATCGTATTCTAATGACTTGGTAGTTTAAAAAATATTTAGACATTGTACGCAAATTCAAAGCTTATTTTCAAGTCCATCATATTTTTAGCCTACTTTAGAATAAAGTAGAGAAAACTAATTTGCTTTGGCCATTAACTATGACTGATTATAACGACGATCGATTTCTTGAGCCTCGTACCTTTTATGGTTCATATATTTCATGATTTGATACGACTCTAAATTTTATGTATCTGAGATCAGAATGAAGGTGGCAGTAGTTTATAGTCTATTGGCAGTATCTTGCAGCTTATGGCAACAAACTTTGGAATGTAAAACGCGTGTATTGTATCGTTTATTTAATAAGATATTGGAGGTAAATTAACATTTGATATCTTTAGATTTTATGTCCCATGGCCAACAAAGCACTTGCATATTAAGGATACTTTTTAGAATCGCTTGATGACTGGTGCAGGAAATCCTTTCCATTACGTGAACATTCTAAACGAATAAAATTGATTTAAACGTGTAAATTACATATTTATAATTATTATTTTCCCTATGAAACCTATACCGATAACCTATTTTCACTCACACACAAACGCATTGTTCTTTACTCTAAATGTTTAAAAGTCTAGCAAAACGTATAATTTATTAACAAATACACTACAGTACAAAGGTTTGTACTGTAGGCGCTGGATGAAGAAAGATCAATTGGAAATGAACTTTTTCAAATTGATTCTGATCCGTTATCAGCATTCCATTCCGTCGCTTTGATAATCATAGTACAAGGAATTCACTAGGCTGAGTTAAATCATCTTAGTTGTGTGTCAATGGGTTTTGTCCTTTTAGTATTATGCTAAAAGTTAGAGTAATATTTGTCAGTGCACTCAACTGGTATGGCATATTTTTGGTTTTCTTTTGAAAACTAAATTGTTGATGAAACGAGTTATGAATTAAAATATGCATAGTAATTTCCATGGTAGGTTTGGTAAAGCAACATTGATGGTTAGTGATTGAATGAATCACTGCCATTCCTTTGACACTAAATTGAGACTCAACCAACATTGCTACTAGATTTTAGCAGAATAACAAAACGACACCTCCAATGAACATTACGCCAACATTATTTTCTGTTATTTTTGTAAACACACATTTATTTATTAACATTATGCTCCCCGAAGTTTGTGAAAAAAAGAAACAAAAAGCAAATTTTGAAAAAAAGAACAGAAAACGAAATGAAACTATTTTAAATCGCGTATTTTTGTTTTTTTTCAAACAAAGCGACGTTTCGGGCCCTTTACAGGTCCTATGTTCACGGTTGACTGAGGTGGTACAGTCTTTAACCAGTTATATCTAATATTGATGCAAACCACCCTATTCTTTCACTATAGTACAGTAGTTATTAATTAAATACCTTATTTTTAATTTTACAAAGAAAACATTCCAATTTACGCTACATTCAGTTTTACAAATTATTTTATTGAATGAATTTTTATTCAGTTTAATTTATTATTAATTAATAATAGAAATTAGAATAAACTAAAACATATTAATTAGTACTGCAGTCTTATGTCTGTTTGGGATTTTTCATTAGAGGAAATACTGGATCCCAAACTGATGGTACTGAGAAACCATCTTCCCTGTTGAAATTAGGATGTTTTTTAATTTCAATGGCCTCTCGCAGCATTCTGGGTAGATAACGGACTTCTTTTGCAAGGACCTGACCCGGTTTGCATCAATATTAGACAAAAAAAACCGGAAAAATCAGTTTCATTTCCTATGTGTAACAATCGCGAAAACCTAAGAACTCGAACAGAAAACGAATTTTGGGAAAAATATAAAGAAACAAAATAGAACAGGTCCAAAAATTAATAGGCGTAGTGTTGGAGGTGTCGAAATATTATCACAATTGCAATATAAATTCAATGGAATTCCAACGCCCAGCGGTGTTAAGAACATTAGCAGACACGGTGCCCTGATTGTTGTGGCAAGTAATTTATATTATTATAATTCAGTCCATACTAACCAACAATTAGTTTTTTATACATAAACAAGCACGTGTTATTTAGCAAATTCTTCCCCTTGCATATAAATTCTTTTTCTTCATTTGCTTTATATTCATAAGTTTTATTTGAATTTTCACCATCAATGGTTAAAGTTGGATTATTGATTATGTTCACTCCTTTGCATTTCATTACTGTAAAAGAAAAAGGATTCGTTTTACAAAACATTATTATATGCGTAAACAAAAAAAACTGAAATTATGTAGATCATTGAGATAAGAAAACAATGAACAAACGAGACACTTTTGAAGATTAATAATGATAGATAATTTTGCCCTTTGGCAAAGGCTTTGTCCCAAAGTTATTTTAGAATTTTAGTTTAGAATACTTTTTTATGATATCACGTGATGGCACTAATAAGTCCTGCACCTGGTGGTAAGCGACGCGCCTGTCTATAGAACTGCTATGCCAGTCACAGCTTTAAATTGCAAAGATTTGAGAGGTTCCTGGCACTGTGCCTGTCACTTTGGTACATAAGTTGATAAGTCCCGTGTGCCTGTAATTTCACCAGCCATTGAGAACCGGAACGCAATAACGCATTACTGCTTGGCGGCAGAAATAGATAAGGCGGTAGTACTGCCCTGGACGAGCTCTTTCACAAGAAGCTCTACACTAATATTGTGAACTTAAATTTATTATTATTATATTCATTTAAAACAACGTTGACATTGTGTGGTTTTTTTAATAGATAGATAGAAACCAATTTCAATATAAATTAATTCTAATATAAATTTTATTTTTATAACATAACTTGCGGTACCCTGCAGGATTATAAGTTATAAAGCTAGACTTCGCATTACGTCAAGAATTTTTAAATTACTCATGTGAAGCAATTATTGAATGAATATCTGACACCAAGCAGTAACGAACATCACTGTGTTCCGGTTTTGCTGGTGAAACTACAGGCACATGGGGCTTGCTTTTATGTTTTAACGATTTTACGATTTTTTTTTAATGATCGACGGGTCGAACTAATCGTGCTCCATTTTTTTTCGTTATACTACTGTCGCTTGATAGTAAGCGACACTCCTATCCATAACAGTTGCAGTGCCCCTCAGAGCTTTTAAATAGCACAGATCTTAGGGGCACTGCCACTGCGGGTTTGTAGCATCTGAACCCGGTGTCGGTTTAGAGTTGCAACGGATCCCGACTGAGCCCAAATGCGAGTATCATGTGATTCCGGGACTGATTGCTTGTCAAAAATAATTAAATTTGAATAGGATCCAGTGCCGGGTTCAGTTGCACCTCGAGAGATGGCATTAAATTTGTATCGTCTGAATCCGAATTCATTTTCTATAGATGTTGGTACATTTTTTACTGCAAGAGCGGCGAGCATAAAAATACATACTAGAAACGCAAATAAAATACTAGAGACGCAATGTCCTATAAACAACAATTAAAACTCTGCCATCATTTCGCAAATTTGAAGACTAGCTTTGAAACTGATTAAAATTTCAAAGAAAAACATAACTTGAAATGGATGCGACTCATATTTAATTATTTTTGACATGCAACCAGTCCCGGGATCATACGATAACCATATTTGGGCTCGTTCTGGTTCCGTTGCAACTTTAAACCGACCCCGGGATCAGATGCTAACAACCTAGCCCATCATGCTTAGACATAGTTGACAAGCAACTTTCAGATCAAGAACGCAGTAATGTAGGCATTACTGTTCAGTGGCAGAAATAAGTAAGATGGCAGTACTTCCCTGAACGAATTCTATGGCACTGCTACTGCTATGAGTGGGCATGATATTTTATGCCAGACGATCCACGACTTGTTTGTTACTTGATAATCATAAAGAAAAAGTTCTGGAAGGGATTACAGAACATAACAATTACAATATCACAAAGGTATACTTACAAAGAAAAGTAATTATAATTATCCACACCTGTCCGAACAGCTTACTCATCGTTACTAAACACACTGCAAGGTAGATAATAAATAACTACAGACTATCATTGTAATGAGTGCATTGTACTTTTTAAACTAAGTGTAAAAGGAAAATGGACTACCAATAGTAATCAGGAAGGAAACTTCATAAATACCAAAGTTGTGCAAAAGCAAACAATTACAACGGATAAAAAATATTCAGTATTTGGCCTACATATAAATACATAAAAATATTAGAAATAGTTTGACAACAAATTTCATTTTCATTAATATTCAAAACAAATGAAATTAGTTTTCAAGTTACAGCGAAAATTTATGACAAAAAATAAGCAAGATGAGTGTTCGAGGTTGGTGTAAACGTGTTGGTGTAAACTTGCAAGTAAACGTGATTTGTGTTCGAAGCCCC